AACACAACACCCACCGCAACATCCACCAACACCTTCTCCCCTCTGGGTGACCCTGCTGAGGGGGTCAGAGCCAGAGGGAAACCAGGATCCTGGTCACACGGGGCCTGGACTCACAGCCTCCGGCCTTAGGAGGAACCAGCACCAGCTTGTCAGAAACAACACTGGGGCCAGTGGATTCGACGGAGGATGGGCCACCCGTCTTGGGGTCCTGGAATGGGGGTCCCACGGCCTTCCCAGACAGCTACACCCACCTCTCAGAGCCAGCCTCTGACTCGGAGGGAAAGGATGGACAGTCACGGGAAGACCCAGAAAGCTTCCAAGCTCGTCTCTGGGCTCGAGGAAAGGACAAAACCCTGGAAACAGGGTAGAGGTCGAGCCCTGCCCCTTGGCTCCCTCCCTGCTCCTCACACCCTACCACACCCAGAGGAACTCTCTGTGAACTCAAATCACCACCTGGAGAGCTAGGTAGCATCTGTCTTGCTGGAAGGGCTCCAGTGGTTAATGCAAGAGCTGCTGAGGTTGCGACCTCATCTCTGTGACAGCCAGGGTCCTGGGGTCCTCTAGGGAACCCAGAGGGGCTTTCTGCAAAGTCCTCCGCACAGCAGTGCATCACAGACCAAGAAAAGGTCCAGCATGCAAAGCCAGGAGCAGCAGAGGGACAATGAGGCCTGCAGGTTTTGAGACAGAGTAGAATATGGTGCCTGAGCACACAGGCCCTGGAGGCCTACCACCTGGCTTCGAATTCTAGTTCCACTGCTTCCGATCTGTGACTGCCAGCAAGCTTCATCTCACCGGGCCTCGTCCCCCTCCTCTGTGAAAGGTGAAGGATTGCTGCACCTGTCTCCTGTTGCTGTTATGGCTGTAATGACGGATGCAATCCAGGTAGAGCTCCTAGAAGTCTTGGGTGCCCCTGTTCCTGCAGCCGTCATTACTACCAAATGCTAATCAGGGTCAGGTCTGTGCGAGGCACCTGCTGTGCAAGACTCCACTTAGTCCTTACACACACACACACGAGGGGAGGTGCTTCTTCCTGCCCTTCCACGAGTGAGACACAGAAGTGTGGAGAGATTAGGTGACGTGCCCAGGGTCATCCAGCTGCCAGGTGGTGGAGCCAGGGTTCTGATTCCCACGCAGCGACCTTGACTGCCCCGCTCCATTTCCTGCCCAACACGCGAATCAGAGTGACACCAATCGTGAACATTTCTTTTCTTTTCTTTTTTACTCCTCATCCAAGGATCTGCTTGCTGGTGTCAAGAGAGAGTGGAAGAGAAAAAAAGACAGAGAAATATTGACATACGAGAACACCAATCAGTGGCCTCCCGTGCGGGCCCTGACCAGGAACCAAACCTGCAGCCTCTGAGTGCAGGGGAGGACACTCTACCCAACTGAGCCACCCGGCCAGGGCCAGATGGGAACATTTCGTTACGTACTAACTAAACTGAAATCCACCGGGAACTAACACATACATCTTAACATTGTAATTTGCTGTTTAAAATGGCAGGCTGCAATGTGCAGTTACGTGAAATGCGTTCCCTCGTTAACGAGAATGCCCTTCTTGGCAGGAGTGAGTGATTCAGGCAAGACTGCAACTCTCCTTTTGTGGTTATGAGGTTACAAGGTGGTAGATGTCTCTGCCCGCTTTCTCCTTTGAAGCCTAATACTGTCTTGGGTACTTCACCTTTTCTACCATCACTCTGAAGTGCCTGGCTGCTAGTGGACATTTGTTTCTTAAAGCTGAAAGAGCACTGCTTGCCTTGGGCCACTTGTCCCACCAAGGCCATTTTACCTCCCTCTGAGGAAGCAACTCACAAGGCTCAGAGGGTTCCCAGAGAAATGGAGGTGTCCCAAGTTGGCTTCACTAGAAGCTGATCAGCATCTTCAACTTGGCAGCTGCAGGGTGGCAGGGCCACCGTCCTCAGATGCAACAGGCTGTGCTAATAACAGGGCCATCAGCTCAGCGTCTCCCAGACCTGCTTGCCATTTAAGGCTGCTCGAGCCTCTGTATTGCAAAATCTTCCTGTCTAGCCACAATAGCAGCAGATGAACTAAAGGATGAATGTGAGACTCTCAGCTCTCCCCGAAGAATCTCTTTCCTAGGTGATATTTCAAATAAAAGCCAGGTTTGTGTCAGTACCGCCCTGGCTGGAGCTGAAGAGAGAGACCAGGTGACCCGTAGCTAATGCCCAAAGCCAGCAAGAGATGCCTTCACTGTGACCCGTGACGGATACGCTCCATCTAAGGCACAGAGCTGGGGCAAAAGGCGTTCGGCTTACGGATTTTGAAGACTTAAAATGATTCGGTGAGAAAATAATGGGAAGAGAACAGCCTTTACTGACCCAGTCTGATGTGTCAAGCAGGAGCCTGGAGATAGGACCTGCGAGACCACTTCAGACGGGTCAGGGCAGGCCTGGATGCTCATCGGCCCTGCACAGGCTCTGAATGAGGTCGGTGAGTGGTGATGTGTCAAATGGAGAGGAACGAGTCTAGCTTCTGTTCACCGCGGACCCTGGGGGAGATGCTGGCCCTTGCTATATGTTTATTAACTTTTTTAAACACACTGTGGTTGGCCTAGTTTCACTTAATGCCTGATAAAGTGGAAAACTGTTTACATAGCACCCCCGGGTCTGGTGCTGAGCAGCCGGAGTCAGCAAGATCCTTCACTCTCAGAGATGACACAAGCCAGCAGCCTGGGAGGCAAACAGTTCCTTTAGAAGCATGCCATCCCCGGGGCCGGGGGGGGGGAGTGGCAGCACGTTAAATAAGACAACATCAGGATGAGGAGAGATCAAACCCCAGGGGGGAAAAGCGCACCAAGGGCGCACTTGGCTGCTGGGGTTCATCGCGTCACTGTCCAGGACAGATGGGCGAGTTGCCGCCCAATTCACGTGCCCTCCTCGCAGGCCAGATATATCTCTCTATGTAAACTCTGCTGGTTTAGCCTTCTCCCCACAGGACATCCAACGAGGCCCGAGAGAATGGCCAGAGTCGGCAGTAAGCTCCAGGGTGCCATCCGTCTTCCAGTCTGCCCCCTAAATCTCACCCCCATGCCTTGCTTAGGTGCGTGCTGCAGATGTGTCCACCCAAGCTCTCGTTGGCAGGGTCTGCCTCCCCTCCAGTCTTTGCGGGCTGGTGAGACACCCTGTGATGCCTCCGTAGGCTCGGCTTTCTATCTACAGATGAGAGGGCCCTGCGCATAGCCCTGGTGACCTTCCTCACACGCCAGGCAACCTGTTAGGAGACAGGTTTGAAGTCTCAGGCAGAGGCCATGACCAAATGCTAGCACCGAACGAATGTCTATGAGAGTGCACTGTGTGCTGGGAGTCACTAAGAACTTCATGTGCTTTGTCCCTTTCCCATCTGATCGCCACCGCCGGTGAAGATAGGGAACGTCACCACCCTCACTTGATAATGAGGAAACCGAGGCTCAGGCCAATGCATTGATCCAGGAAGTGAGCCGCAGAGCCCGGATTTGAACTTATAACCAGTGCCTGCACCGCTTCCTCCCTCAGCGAGCGTGGCCCTGGGCGACTAAGGGTTTAGGGAGGGGAGCTTCTGGCAGCGTCCTGCCCCCTCGGTGACGCGCAGGTCATGCCTCAGAGCTGACAAGCTCCTCTGCCATCATTTTTCAGAGCGTAGGTTTCTACCCTGTTCCCAACAGTGGGCAGTGTGTTCTAGAACAAAGTTCGCAAGATTTAGATGGAACCAAACTAGATGCTGGCTTTTTGACTGAATAGCTACTCGACCTTGAACAAACTGCTCTCTGAGGTCCCTTTCTCACCTACGGAACAAGCTGAAGGCCACTTGTCTGTGGGAGTGCTGTGAAGCTGTGAGGAAAAGCTCGTTCTCCTCTCTCCTCCTAGCCAGGGACCTGAGGAGCAGGCTGGGCCATGAGGAGGCTCCAAGGAGAAGCCCCTGCAGCTCCCGACACCAGGAACATGGTCTCGCTCCCCACACGCAGCTCTCGTGGTCACCAACCCCCTGCTACCAGGTCTGCCTGCCTTCCTAAGGCCACACCTTTAGACGGTGCAGACCGTTGTCACGGGATCACAGCCGCGAGGGCTCCGGTGAGGCCACCTGAGCAACGCCGGTCCCCTGGCCCTAGGGCTAAACACTTCCAACGAATTCATGCTAACATATTATTTATGGCACTTTGTCAATTAAAATAATTGTGCAGGCTGCAGAAATATAGAAACATTTTGCCATAATGTTACCTGGAAATAAAACCCATGATTGTGGCCTTGAAAAGCTCTGCAGACACGTCTGTGGATTATGCGAAACAAAACTGTGTGGGGGCGGGGAACTGTGCTGTCCTTTCAGAATGTTCTTTAACATTCCCTCCACACTCAGGTTGCAGAGTGGGCGTTCGAGAGACAACCCGATGGGGAGGAAGCTGACTTTTAAGCAGCGTGCCCACACCACTCCTGCCTGCTGCGCCTGTGAAAGACGGGGGTCAGGGGCTTGGGTCAGCTTCCCTCGGCAGAAAGAACCATCCTGGGTGGGAAGGGGACAAGTGCACAGGAACAAGGCCCTGGGCTGCGCAGGAGGTGCAGCGCCGCAGCCAGCTGCCTCTTCCTCGGAGCTCGAGTTCCATCTGGCTGAACAGTGAGCCGGGGCATCTGCTTCCCTGCAGTGCCCTCCTGTGGCGGAGGCCTGCCAGGGGGCAGACAGGCCCCACAGCCCACAACCGGGAGAAACCACTTATTTTTCCCTTTTCTTTTAAAAAATGTTTTTAACCCTGGCCGGAGAGCTCAGTGGGTTAGAGTGTTGTCCTAATAGTCCAAGGTTGTGGGTTTGATCCCAGGTCAGGGCACATACAAGCATCGACCAGTAACTGCATAAGTAAGTGGAACAACAAATCGATGTGTTTCTCTCTCTCTGGTCCTTTCCTCTCTCTCCAAAATCAGTAAGTTTTTAAAAATGTTTTTAATTAACTAGCCACTTTTCAAGGCAATTATTGGGTATATAAAATTTTTAAGCAGAAGGAGTCACCACAAAAACCATTACCATCACAGTTTTTCTTTAATCGCTATGTTTTCTATAGGCAAAATGGACACATTTATGAAATAACACAAAATATGCTCCTTTTTAAAACACCAGATTTCAGAAAAACCAGTGAAAGTAAATTCAGCATTGCCGGTTGAGGGGAATCTTAATTTTAAAAGCAATTTCAAAAGTTAAATAAATAAGAACTAAAGGCAGTCTCACACACACTGGGTGGCCAGAGGACGCCCTCGCAGGTCTAAGCCCCTCTGGAGGCCAGAACGGAGTGCAAAGGTGTCACAACAAGACGCCGGGCGTCCGCCCATCCTGAGCACGAAGCAGGCCTACGTGACGGGGCGGCAGGGCCAGGGTGGCTGCAGGTCTAAGGAGAAGCAGGCAGGCAAAGCCCGTGTCCAGGAGAAGCGCTGAGGGCCTCGGGCTGGGCCCGGGTGGCAGGCGGGGGCCCAGCTCAACGCGGCTTTTCAAAGAGGTACTCGAGGTCTGGGGCACGCAGCCTCTGCTCCTTGTTTTTATTTTTGGCAAAGTCTCTCAGCAGTGCCATGACTTCATTTTCAAATATTTCTGGGGCTGGTTTTGCTTCTGCAAGAGAAGAATGGGCGGAAAGAATCATGTCAGTCGGTCAACATTTAGGCAAAAGGATCTTGAAACGTGAAACTCGGACGTCGGCCAAGAGCCTCGGCAGACACCCAGATCGTCCCCATCCTTCCTCCAAGCACCCGCAGCGGCCACCTGCCTGCGTGACCTGCTTTACCCGCACAGCCGCCCCTGCGGGCTCACACGGTGTCCATGGCGGCTGCTGGGCTACATCGGCAGAGCAGGTGCGGCAGCGCCCATATGACCACAAGACCGAGATACCTGCTCTGTGGTCCCTCGTGAGCAAGGCTGCCGACCTCTGGCCTGCCCTGTCTTGGCCGCACTGCTTTGCTCTGCGTTTGGTATTTCAGTTGTTTTCCAGGCTATGCATTCTCTGAGGCAAAGGCCCTTGGCTGTAAGTGACAGAAACTAGTAACTCAAGTACACTGAAGCCAAAGGGAATGGACTGGAAGCCCACCAGAGGGACACGACAGTGCCACGTCCCCGAGGGGCAGCCCTGAACACACGGAGGCACAGAAAGCGCGGCAACGCGGATGCCAGCCGCAGGCGAGCGGGGGCAGGGCGGCCGGACACTGCTCACCTTTGACCCTTCTTTCCACCCTGAGACACTCAAGATTCAAATCATAAGCAAAGCCTTCCACTGGCGAAGCTTAGGTAGGTAAGGTGTTCTGGAACTACCCTCCTATCAAGGCTAAATACAGGGCTAGGAGGGGAATTCCTCAAAACAAAGTTCGATCCCTCCTCAGTCAGCACAGAACCTGGCTTCCAGTGGGTCAGGACTCTGTCTGTTTGTAACGATCGAAGTAAAATTAGGGATATTTAGGTTCCCCGGAGGATGCTGAGAGTTGTAAACAACCCTGCTCGCATCCTAACAACAAAAGCCAGGTGAATGACAGACACCATGAGCCGTGAGGTCATCAGACTGCCGAGGTCGCAGAGCAACCTCATGGAACAAATCTAGGGACAGAGGCCCCTGGGGGGAGAAACCGGACCTGAGCACCCGCTCACCTGGGACAGAGGCACATCACAAAAAGGGAAAAGATTCAGCTACGTGTTCAGTGACCAGCTAAAAGCCGAGTGGGGACTAGCCACAGACCCAGGGGAGCTCACGCGCACCTACTGGTTCTTCGGAAGAAACCTGCACTGAGCATGCTCCTGACAAAGACTAGGTTCAGAACAGGAGGCCGGAGCAAGCCATGGCGAGGGGAGCAGACAACTGTGCAAAGAAAGCATCACGCCCCACCCAGCCCAGTCCTTGCCTTTTGCAGAACAAAAACCTCGGGTGACTGGAGCAGGTCAGCAAACCCAGTCTCCTGCAGGGCACACAGGAGAACCCATCTGGGCTGGTGAAAGGGTAAAAGGAAAATAAATCCCCTCCCTAGTAGGGTGGGTGGGGTCACCAAGAAGGCCCACCTCCAAGGCCCAGGGCCACAGAGACTGAAGCTGGGACTGAAGCTGGAAGCCCTCCCGACCTCTTCCTCCCCAAGCAAACAAGCACCACGTAGGAAGCAACAAGAATCTACAACTTGGGGGAGGCTAAACTCGGGGAGAGAGATTCCCTTTGAGGCACAGAGATACAGGGACACTGAGAAACACCCTCAGGAGACTCGGCTTCCACCCAAGCTGAGTAACGACAGAGGCCAGTGGTGCCAAAGCAATCAGCTGAACTCCTAACTGGGCGGACTTGATCGCCGCACTGACAGCTGGGTGGAAGCGTGCCCATGTCCAGGCGTATATGCCACCCACCCTGGCCTCCACTGTCTCACTCACGATGTCTGACACTCAGTCAAACGTTGTGAGACCCACACACTGTGAGGGGACAAAGCTGTCACAGAGACGGACTAAGAGATGACCCGGATGTTAGACTGTTGAGGGCTTTAAAGTAACTGTGACCAGTATGTAAAAGAATCTAGTAGGAAAAGCAGATGAAGTACATGTACAGATGAGCACTTCCAGCAGAGAGTTAGAAACTGCAAAAGCCAAATGAAAATGTTAAAAAATAAAAACAAGCAAATAAGCGGCCTAACCTCAGCAGGTTGATCATGAGATCTGACAGTCAAGGAAAGAATCAGTGAACTGAAGACGGGTCCGCAGATACTGCTGATACAAACCACCCAAACTGATCCGTAAAAACAGTGACACACAAACCGATTCCAAAAGCTAGAAAATAATATTGACAGTCTAACCTAAGTGTGATTGGATCCAACACGCCTAGAGGACCGCAAGCAGGGCGAACACCAAAAACAAGCACCGAGACATGCCATATTCAAACCGCTAGAAACCAAAGATGCTGAAAACATTCAGAGAGAAAAGATGCATTATATACAAAGGAACAAAGGCGCATCAGACCTCTTGTCAGAAACGAGGCAAACCAGAAAACGACACCTGGTATCACCGGAGGAATCTGAACTTGGCAGTACAATGAAGGTAAGGAAGCAAAGCGAAAACCGACCCAAATCCAGCCCGACTCCTGACCAGACCGGGTCCCGCACACCCACGCCTGGCACAAAAGTGTGTGCCCCTGCAAAGTGATGAAAGAAAAATCGTGAACCTGCATTTCTCTATCCAGTGAGAGAATTCATAACAGCAGACCTACACTACAACAAACACTAAAAGAAATTCTTCAAGAACATACCAGACTGAAACGTGGATCCATATGAATCAGTGCAGATCTCCAAAGACAATGAAAATGAAGGTAAAAGTAAAATGTAATATACTTCATATATTATAAATCATGTTACCCAGGTATGTACAAATACTATATATGTTCTAATTTATAGATATGAGGTATTCTTTCCCCTATTTTACATTGCTCTAAAGGTAACTGCCTAAAGCAGAAGCAACACAAGTGCAGTGGAGGCCTACAGCACAATGGGAATGATACCAAGTGTGGCAAGGGCAGCACAAAAGATGAGAGGGCAGAACCGGGGGTTCTACTGTACAGTCCTCACATTATAAACGAGGCACTAGAATATTACTCAAAGGCAATGTATGCTACAAACCTTAGGGCAATCATTAAAAAAATTATAAGGAGAGGTATAAATAATAAACCAACAGTGGAGTAAAGTGAAATTTAAAATAATTTTAAAACCCCATGGAAATAGAGGGGAAAGGAACAAAGAACAGATGGAAGAAATAGGAAACAAACAGATGGTAGATTTTAAATGCAACCACACTGATCATTAATTACATGCAAATGGCCAAAAGACTAGAGACCATAAGACTGGACAAAAAAGTAAAGACTACACGTGCTGTGTACGAGACGCTCAATTTAAAGGTGAAAGGCCGGTGCGGTGCGCAGACGTCTAAGTCGGCCCGAGTATTCCCCACTCCCCAGCTGCACAAGCCTTGGGTGATCCCCAGGACTGAGAACGAGACAGGTGTCACGCCCGTGATTAGGTGATGTCATTCTGGCACAGCTGGCCTTAGGACAGGGAAGTTACCTCACCACATGAGCTCTACAAAAGCAGAGTGATCTCCAGCATGTGACAGGCAGGACGAGCAGACAGATGTGAGGCAGGAGAGGGACACCACGTGAGGGAGGATCTCCAGGGCTGAGGCGGAGGGGCTGCCGGGCAAAGAACTGGGCTCCTGGGAGCTGAAGGAGAACAGCAGCGAACAAGACAATCGGGGTCTCGGTCCCACAACTCAACCCCAACAGCCTGAATGCGCTTCCAGGTGGGAACATAAACAGTGGACTCTGACCTCAGACTGTGAGATCTGGACGAGCTTCTGACCTCTGAACTATGAGCCAGCAGACAGGTGCTGCTTGACGTCACTGAGTCTGTGGTAACTTATTACACAGCAGCAGAAAACCAATACAGATGGGAAAATACAGGCCATGTACACACTAATCGGGACAATGCTGCAGTGTCTAAATTACGATCAGACTCTCTGGAACAAGGAATATGATCAGCAGGAAAGACAGACATTATGTAATGATAAAGCAGCCAATTCATCAAGAGGATATAACAATCCTAACACGTCATCTCTGAGCTTCAAAACAGAGAAGCGAAAACCGAGAGAATGAAAGTAATCATGAATCCACAGTTATAGGCGGAGATTTCAATACTCCTCTCTTATTAATGGACAGAACAAGTACAAGTACAGAGAAAATCTGTCAGAACACAGAAGACATGAAGAACAGCACTAGCCGACCTGACCTGACATTTACAGAACACTTCATCCACAAGTGCAGGACACAAATGTTCAAATAAGTGCACATGCAACAGTTATCAAGACACCCACATTTCTGGCCATTAAAAAATTTCAAGAAATTGCCCTGGCTGGTGTGGCTCAGTGGACTAAGTGCCGGCCTGTGAGCTGAAAGGTTGCCAGTTCAATACCCAGTCAGGACACATGCCTGGGTTGCAGGCCGGGTATCCAGCTGTGGGTGTGCGAGAGGCAACCCACTGATTTATCTCCTGCACATCAAAGTTCCTCTCCCTCTTTTCTCCCTTCCTTCTCCTCTCTCTGAAAATAAATAAAGTCTTTAAAGAAGTTTCAAGATATTTAAAATAACTGAAATTGTACAACATATGTTCTGTGCTCACAATGGAATAAATAACAGAAAAATATCTGAAATATCTGGAAAATCTGGAAATATCTGAAAATTAGACATACTTCTAAATAACTCATAGGTAAAACAGGAAGTCACAAGGGAAATTAAAAAATATTTTGATTGGAATAAAAATAGAACACAACACACCCAAATTTGTAACATGAAGCTAAAGCAATGCTTAGATGGAAGTTTAAATGCTCTTGGTTAAAAAAATGGTCTCAACTCAATCAGCTCAGCTTCCACCTTAAGAAACTAGAAAAAGAGCAAATTAAGCCCAATGCAAGCTGAAGGAAATAATAAAGGAAACTGAAAACAGAAAAAGAAAAATCAATGAAATCAAAAGCTGTTGTTTGAAAAAATACATTGAAGGGGACTAAATGGTAATGGAAAAGAATATAATAAAGATTATACTTTAAAAAAAGAAAAGATACGTTGGTAAGCTTTAGCCAGACTGACTGAGGGGGGAAAAGCCCACGAACTACCAATATTAGAAACAAAGGAAAAACCTCACCACGGCTCTTCAAACGTTAAAATACAAAGGGAAGCTACAGCCAACTTTATGCTCATACATTCAACAACTTATATGATATGGGCAAATTTACAGAAAGACACAAATCTCATCCAAGAAGAAATAGCTGACTTAAATGGTTCCACAGGTATTAAAAATATTTGACTTCCCAGTTCAAAACTTCTAACAAAGAAAATCCCAGATCCAGATGGCTTTACCGGCAAATCCTATCAGATATTTAAGGGGGAGATAATATTGATTCGCTACAAATTTTCCTGAAAATGGAACAGGAGAAAGCACTTCCCAACTCACTTTCTGAAGCCAGCATCACCCTGATCGAAAGCAGATGATAACATGCCCCCAAAAACTACACGTCAGCACCTTCAGATACAGGAGCCAAGTCTCTAAAACACCAGCAAATCGAATCAACCCACGCACATCATGACCATGTGGTGTCTATCCTAGGAATACAAGGTCGGTTCAATATCTGAAAATCAATAGAAAATTTCATCATATCAATAAACCAAAAGGGCGGAAATCACATTACTAAAAAAATTATCGTCTCTGTAGATGCCTAAAAGCACCTGACAACGACCTCTATTTATGGTTAAACACTACATGTACCAAAAGCAGAAGGAAACTGTCAGCCTGGTAAGAGGCATTTACAACTAACCTACAGCTGACAGTGTATTTAATGGTGAAGGACGGAGTGTTTCCTCCCAGCGTGGGGAAAAGGCCAGAACGTCTGCTCCCACTCACTACTCAGCGTTGTGCGGGAGGCCCTAGACAGTGCAGCGAGGGGACTGAAAGATGGAAAGGGCTGGAAGAGAAAGAAAAGCACCTCTGCCCACAGATGACACAACTGTCTCCACAGAAAATCCCAAAGAGTCTATCAGAAAGCTTCTGGAACTGAGTGAGTTTAGCCAGGTCACAGTACACAAAGTCAACGCCTTTGTGTCAACGACTTATCAACTGCATTTCTACATTCTACCAACAGTGGAAAGTTGAAAAAAAACAACGTAAAGTCCCATTTACAACAGCACCAAAATAAATAAAATACCTACGTAGAAGCATAGCAAAATATGCTGAAAACTATAAAACTGACTGTAGCTGGCCGACTCCAGGAGGGCCCCCAGCGGTCCCTGGCCCCTGGTCCTGCACCTCTGTGTGAGCCGCCCCTGAATGAGGCTGGACCTATGATTCAGTTCTAACCAACAGAATCTGGCAAAGATGCTGGAACGTCACTGCTGTGATCAGGTTACAAAACAGTGAGACTCCCATCTTGCCGGCAGACTCTGCAGACTTCGTGGTTTGCAAGCTGCCATGTGGGGAGGCCCATGTGACCAAGAACAGAAGGCAGAAGCCAGCAAGGACCGAAGAGCCCATGAGGAAGTAAATCCCACCAAGCCCGGAGAGCAAGCCTGAAGCAGATCCTCCTCTCGTGAAGCGTCCTGATGGGGCCCCCGGCCCTCGGCTGGCACCTTGATGGCAAACTCACGACAGACTAAGGACAGGCCCAGAGAAGCCATGCCTGGATTCCGGACCCACCACAACAATGAGATGATAAACACGGGTTATGCAGGGATGGATAACACACCGACTACAGAAACAAAAGACCTAAGTAAACGGAGATATAGTGTGTTCAAACAGCAGACAATTCTAAATTGCTATCAGAATCTTCGCAAATTCGTCTACTGATTGAACACAACCCCAATCAAAATCCGATTAGAACTTTCTTTTGAGAAACTGAACAGCCGATTCAAAAACTGTAAAATTCCTAGAACAGAGAAAATCTCGGTGACTTCAGATTGGGCAAGTTCTTTGACAAGTACCAAAAGCACAATTCATTACCACATTTTACACTTTAAACCTACAGAAGAGCTTCTATTTTGTGCCACATAATGAGTGGAAACAAAAACACAAAAGACCCAGTGTGTGAGAGAAATAGAGGAGATATCCGAATATCCATTCTCTCCGTTTTCCTTAACAGAACTTCCAATTTGGTTGGACTCATGGAACCGACTAGATCATTTCTTCTTTATGGCGAGGTACAGCCATGCGACTAAATTGTGGCCAATGAAAAGCAAGTGGAAGTATGGTCCATAATTTCCCGAGAAGGACCCATAAGGAACGGGACGTGCTCTTCCACACAGGTTTTCCCGGCTGAACCACGGCACGACAGGCAGAGCCTCAGCAGCCACCTTGGGTCACGAAGCGAACGATACACACAGGGGATGAAGAGGTGGCAGGTCAAGGGACTCAACCCGAGGACTTTGCAAAACCCCTCTCCGTGCCTGCCCTGGACTTCTGTTATGAGAAAGAGAAACAGCTCAGTCTTGCGTAAGCCGTTATTGTTTTAGATTTTTTAACTCACGGCCAAAGCTAACCCTAACTCAAGCTCACCTCACACAGTGAGGTGCCAAACCTCACAAAGGCAGTGCCCCCGTGAGACCACGAGGGCCTCCTGCTACACATGTTGGAGAGCTGTCTGGTTCCAGTCCGTTCCCAGCCTCGTTTCTCTTCAACCTTCCTCTGACACCTACATAATTTCACTAAATTCCTCTCTGCTTAAATTACACACAATAGGTTTCTACTGTTAACAAAGAACCTTAACTAATCAAACAAATTTTATATAGTTAAGAAAAACCTGAAGCGTTTGGGTTGAGTGCCTATTTGCATGAATAAAAGAAAAAGAATCGCCACGGATATAATTCCAGACTCAGATCAGCCCAAGTCACCCCACTTTGCGCCTCATGCTGCGTTTGTGCCCAGTACCTGTAGCCCAGTAGTAAATATCCCAGTCGTTACTGGGCTCATTGATCAGCCGATCATAGAGGTTCAGCTGTTTCTCTGTCATGTGGTGCAGATATTCTTTAGCAAAGAGGCTAAAAATGAGACAGAAAGAAAGAGGTTAAGAAACTGTCCGCAGTCAGAGAAAAGTGGCCCCAGGACTCCCGGGTCCCCACCTGAGCAGAATACAGCTCTCCAGCATTCCCCGCTTCCTGCTCTCGTACAGCAGGCGGGCTCTTTTGGTTTCTATGGATTCATCAGTTCGTTCCTGCCACGGAGGCAAAGGGATTTCAATCATATCTTTCTGGGAATCTGTCGGGCTGTCACCTCTGTAGAACCGGCTGAGTGACGTCATGCTGAGCAAAGGAGACATTAGGTGGCGCCTCGACAGAGCAAGCTTCTGAAACAAATGAACCACATTTTTAACATCAAATAACATCATTGTCATCTGCTCAACACTTACTAGGCGCTAAATGCATTTGATCTCATTTAGTCCTTAAGTGGTTATGCTAATACTGACACCCCTTTATGGCTTAGGAAGCTGAAACCCAGGTTAAAAAATTTACCAAGGTAGCCCAAATAGCAACTGTAGATAGAATTGAAACCTAGGTGTAACTGAAAACATGTTCTTAAGCATTGCCCTCCCAGAAACTCTTCAGCAGAAATATCTTCTTCCTTTGAATTCCTACGGTATGGTTTGTATTCTCCATCACTTGACTGAGTTCAAATTTGAGCATACAGTGTCAGCACGGACCCTAACCCTCCACGGTCTCCCAATCTGGAGAACAGCAAAAACTATCCAGATGCAATGGGAAGGTGGTAACCAGCAAGATGGCAGAACAGGGAGCCCCGCACTCTGCCCCCGCAGAGACGCCAACTCCGTAAGTAATGCACGGACCAACTCCCTTTATGAGAATCCCGGAAACCAGTTCAGAGGTTCCGAACCCCCAGGGGAGCAGAAAAGCAGCTGCGTCAAAGCTGGAAGGAAAATGCACGACGCTCATTCACCAGAGTCCCTCCCCCTAGCTCAGCCTGGTGCAAGTGAAGAAGATACTTGGTTCCTGGTTTCTCCCTGGGGAGAGAAAGAGAAGCCTGAAACACACGTCCACAGTGCAGACTGGCTTAGTTTCTGTCCCCTCTGAATCTAATTGCTGACAGGAAAGGGCGCCAGGCTGGGTGCTGCTGAGAACAAAGGTGAGGGTTTGGACTAGCACACACTCACTCACCATGGTCACTACCCCTGGCTCAGCACAGATGCAGGAGAAAATCTCCAATGCCTGGCTTTTCCCTGAGGAGGTTAAGAGTTGGAATGTATGTCCAAAGTTCCAGCTTTTGGGGGAGGAATCTGAGAATGGTTTCTGTCCCACCTGCCTCAGAGCACTGACAGGACCCAGCACACGCTAGATGTCTGAAAACCAAAGAGAACTGGAGAGCTTGCTGCGCTCTGGGGGGACCCGTGGTACAGGAGACAGGGGCCAATACAGCTTGGTGCCTTTCCCTGGAGAATAAGACAGGAGCATGCATCCAAAATGCCTGCTTTTCAAGGAACCGCTCAAGACATTGATTTCTGTCTTCACCAACTTGTAGCTTTGATGGGAGCTGGAACACTACAGAAACCTGGCGACTATTGAGACCAAGAGGAGCTGGGAGGCTTGTGACTGCTCCACAGGATCTGCAGTACCACAGATAGACACCAGAGGGAGGAAGAGGTTATGAGTTCCCGAAAACAGCCAGCAAATCCCTCTGGCTGGGAATGTACACCACACACCCAGAAGACACCCAGATTCCAGAGAAACAATTAAGGGGATCCCCCAGAATCTCTAGCAGGGCTGATTGCTGGCGGTCTTTCCTTGTACAAAGCCAGCCCAAAACTACTGTGAGAGGTGGCTGTTTTTTCAAAGTAGTAAATCCCAACACAAAGTTGCACAGGATGAAACAAGGAAATGTAGCCCAATCAAAAAAGCAAAAACAATCTCTAGAAACCAACCCTAGTGAAACAGTTACATGAATTACCTGACAAAGAATCCAAAATAACTGTCATCAAGATGTTCACTGAGCTCAAAGGGACAATGCATGAACAACATGAGAATACCAACAAAGAGGAATACTTTAGAACCCAACAGAAATTTTGGAACTGAAGAATAACTGAACTGAAAAATTCACTCTAGGGGTTAAAGAGCAGACTTGATCAATCAGAAGAAAGAAATTCTAAGATAGGTCATTTGAAATTACACAGAGGAAGAAAAAAGAGAATGAAAAGTAATAAAGTACACATGAAAGACTTAGCAGACCACTATACACATTACGAGAACCCCAGAAGAAAAGAGCAAGAAGCAGAAGGCTCATTTGAAGAAATAATGCCCCCCCCAAATATTCTAAAATATGGGAAAAGAAATGAACATTCAAACTGAAGAAGCCCAAAGGATCTAAAGCATACTAGACAGCAAAACAAAAGCATATGAAAGCACAGAGCAAAGGCAAATACCTGACAAACCCAGGATACTGTAATACTGTCACGGTGGTACAAAAACCACTTTTAATTCTGATGTAAAGGTTAATAAACAAAAACATTTTAAAAAAATAGTCTGCCCTAAGAGGCATGGCTCAGTACACAATATAAAATATAAATAATGGTAACATCAATAAAATGAAGTAGGGAGGAATGAAATGAAGTGGAGAGGAGTAAAATAACAGTTTTGTACGAGATTCAAGTTAAATGGTTATCAGCTTACAATAAATTATAAAATGTTTTTTGTAAGCTCCACAATAAACATACAAAAAATACCTATAAAAGCTACACGATAAAAATTTAAAAAGGAGCCGACCAGTGTGGCTCAGTGGGTTGGGCATCACTCCACAAAGCAAAGGGTCACCAGTGTGGTTCCCAGTCAGGGCACACGCCTGGGTTGCATGTGTGGTCCCTGGTTGGGGAGCAGACCAGAGGCAACCAACTGATGTTTCTCTCTCTCTCTTTCTCCCTCCCTTCCCCTCTCTCTAAAAACAAACAAATAAATTAAATCTTTTTTAAAAATTAGAAAATCGAAGCATGTCTCTATTTTAAAAAGCCCATGAGAGACAAATGATAACAGTAAAACACAAAGAGGGACATAAGCTACAAGACAGACAGGGAACAATTAACAAAGTGGCAATAGTAAGTCCTTACTACCAGCCATCACTTCAAATGTAAATGTACTAAACTCTACAACCAAAACATATAGAGTGGCTCGATGGATAAAAACATAGTAAGATCCAACTACATGCCATTACCAAGACGCACTTTACATGTAAAGATACGTATAGGCTGAAAAGTAAAAGGATGAAAAAAGACATTCCATGCAAATGATAACCAAAAGTGAACAGAATGTCCCTACTCACATCAGACAAAACAGACTTGAAGTCAAAAACTGTCATGAGATAAAGGACATTATGGAACAATCAAAAGGTATATTCAGCAGGAAAATAGAAGAACTATAAATATATATGCAACCAACATCAGTGCACCCCAAAATATGAAGCAAGCACTGACAGCGCTGAAGAAACAACACAATAATAGATTTCAATATCCCACTTTCAATCATGGACAGAACATCCAGACAGAAGATCAATATGGAAATAGGTGACCTGAACACTACAGACCCAATTAACCAAACACACATATACGGAACATGCCATCCAAAAGCGACGAGACTACATTCTTCTCACGCGCACTAGGAACATTCTCCAGGACAGATCACGTTAAGTTACAGAACGAGTTTGTCTAAGAAGATTGAAATTCCACAGTGGAATGAAACTAGAAATCTATAGAAGGGAAACTGAAAATTTTACAATTGTTAAACTAAAATAAAGCACTTAACCAATGGTTCAAATGAGTCAGAAGAAATCAAAGGGAAATTAGAAAAAATCTTGAGACGAAAGACACAACGTACAAAATATTAGATGCAGCAAAAGGCAGCACTACGAGAAAAGTATACAGTGGTAAACACTACATTAAAAAAGTAAGACTTTATGATGCTACGTGAAATAATGCTAAGTAAGCATCAGAGATTTAAGAACAGAGATTAGGGGCGCCCAGAGGCGGTCGGGCCAGCTCCTCCTAGGCAATAGGTGAAATCCGACTAGGGTCTCGCAGGAAGACTAATCGGTCAAACTATACTACAAGCCAGGCACACAGTGGGCTCAGCAAACGGTGGAAGCGACATGAATCTCCTAATTTTGCAAGATCGACCTCTCCGTGGGCTATGGGGCTGTTGGATACTCCCCAGTCTCCAAAACTAGGGAGGAAAAGGAGACTCAGTCTCTACCGTGGCCCGCCTAGGACCCTAGAACCTCCATTCTCCTCACCCGCGTCAGAGCCGGGAACACCGTAGCCACTGCCATTTTCCCCGACTTGTACCGGAAGCCTACGGCGCGGAAGCCGGGAACCCCAAGAGGAAGGCTTTGCGGAAGACACTTCCCAGCGTATAGCGGAAGTGGCTGTGCGTGTGACGCCCGTGGCGGAGGGGGGCGGGGAGGCGGGATCTGGGGGCTGAGAGCGGTTCGCGCGCTTCGGGCCTAGTCCGGACTCGCCGCCTCCGCCGCCATATTCCCGGTAACGGGGGCGCGCGGCCGGGGGCCGGCTGGGCCGGAAGAGGGCTCGGGGCCGGCGCTGAGGCGGGGAGGGGGTCGGTTGAGTTTGGGGCAGCCGAAGTCGGCGGACAGAGGGAGGCGCGGGCCTTTGTGGGAGGGGGCCGAGGGCGCTGGGCCGGGTCTGTAGGGAGGGAGCGGGGCGGGCCTAGTTGGGGGCGAGGACGGGCCCTGGGTGGGGAGCGGGGGCGGCTCGAACTCCGGGACCCGAGGGGACTGTAGCCGGGGCGCCTTGTGGCCTAGGCAGGTGCGCCAGGCTGGCTTTGCGGGTTTTGCCTTGGGCGTTCTTCGCAGCGCCGTCCGAGGGCCCCTTCAGCAGAGGCCTGGACTTTGCCGTCGCGCTACGGCCAGCTGCGGCGCCGCGCAGGTCGGGCCCGAGGGTGATGGGTAGCGAGCCCCGCGAGCCTCCGCGGCCTGGGAGAGCGAGGGGCGGCGCGAGGCCGGGGGCGGGGCGGAGCGGGTGGGGCCGAGCTGGGGCCGACTGAGAGGCTGCGTCTCTGGAGACGGGAGGCTGGCAATCATTGCCCTCCTTCCAACCTGCGACCCACATGCCATCTAACTGTTGCCTTTCTCTGGATATGCAGTGGCATCTATCTTACTGTGTGTTTTCCGGGCTCGCGATCTGCCTTCCGGAACCATGTCAGAAGGAGTGGACTTGATTGATATATACGCTGACGAGGAATTCAATCAGGTGAGGGGGCTTCGAGAGCATTGGGATTTTCCTGCATCAGTGGAGGAATACTTGATACTTGCGGTGGTTCCAAGTTATGCCAGGCCTCGAGGATTTAGTAGGCCTGAAAATGCCTCTATCGGGTTTTAAATTCTCTCTCTAGTTCAGACTGTCAAGACTTCTGACCATTCTGATTTATGTTAATTTAAGCCTCCAGGCTTAATTTCGAAGGCTTTGATTTAAGAGCAAATAAAAAATCAGGTTTAATGGGATGGTGAGTCAACCTGTGGAATGTGCCGCCCCAAGAAACCAGAGATGGATGTCTGTCTTCTCAAAGACCAGCCACACTGAAAAATCAAATGCGTTTGCTGTAATATTTGTGAGGGTAGTGTTGATACCTGTTCCTTTGTGATTCGTTAAAACTGCTGTTGGAAAAATGTTAGTCCCTTGTCTCATAAGATAGTGTAAAGGCACAATGTAAAGATACTCTTGACATTTGATTTCAGTTCCATTCTGATTGTTTTATACCTATAAGTAGCTTGGCTTAAGTCTTAAGTCCACAGACATTTTTGTGTAATAAATTTTATTGATGAAAATAATTATTTGGGAGTTGAAGGGAGAGGTAAAGGTTTTGGATAAACTGGTTAAAAAGCAAATATAGACCCACTTATGTACCCTAAGTTGGATTTGTGGTGCCTTTATGTTACATCAAGGAACATTATACAGTGATTTCCCTTGAAACAATAATCTCATATACAGTTGATTTGAGCTCTTGAGGTTATATCTCAAGAACATTCTAAAGTCTCTATTTACAGCTTATTAATACCTTGCCTGGGTTGTTTTCAGCAACATTCTACTCCAATAAGCTGGTTCTTCACATTGGCATCTTTTAATGGGTACACATTAGGAGTTGGAGAAAGGGTAAAAAGAACAAACTAGAGACTAAGCTGATGTGGCTCAGTGGACTCAGCACCCGTCTGCGAACCGAAAGGTTGCAGGTTGAATTCCCAGTCAGGGCACATGCCTGGGTTGTGGGTCAGGGCCCTGGTTGAAGGCAGGCGAGGGGCAACCAGTTGATGTATCTCTTGGACGTTGATTTTTCCCTCCCTTTCTTTCTCCCTTCCTTCCCCTCCCTCTAAAAATAAATAAATAAAATCTTGGGGTTTTTTGGTTTGTTTTGTTTTGTTTTTAAGAACAAATTAGAGAAGGAAAGTACACTGCTTGGACTCTGACTTTTATGTGAGGCAACAGAAGAGGTTGAAATATGTCCTGTTTTTTCACTTGGCATAAGTTTACATTAAGAAAACTTTTAAAAATGTATTATGCCTTTTTAACGTGGAGATTTAAAAATGTGAAATTAGAAGTGTAATGATCTTGTACCCATTGTACAGCTTCACTAGTTGTGCTTTCTAATAGTTTCTGGTGTCTTGGGCAAACTGGATGCATCTACATGTGGCCGTTGATTGACTTAAATGCATGAAAAATTTTTTAAATTTTTGAACAAGTCAAATAATTACTTATAGGTAAAAAGAAAGGTTTAGCATATTAAAATAGTTACAAACCATTGCTTTCCTGAGTTTTCCATGTTACTTTGAATCAGACTTTAACTAGTCTTTTACAAGTTATGCTTCGTTTGTTTCTTAAGTACAAGAGTGCAAGGCAAGAAGACTCCAGCAGTGGAGTGGGTGCCCTTGTGTGGGTGGATGGCAGCGCTGCTGTGGGAAATGGGCAGAATGGGGTCCTTGACCACAGGTCTAGCCTTATTTGCTCTAAGAAAGAGATTTCATTATTTCTTAAGCAGTAAAAGTTATAAGTCATAAATAAGATACAGGCCTTGTCCAGAGACCACTGCTTTGTCAGAGTAGAAGTCATTGGCCTCAACAATTTGTGTCCTCTGGTCTCTTGTTAAAAAGGATTTTTTATGGATCTGAGATAGGCTAAAGATGGCATGTGGGATCTAGTAGACGTCCAGGCAATACTGGGTGCTTAGCAAGTTGAAGAAAGTGTGGGTTTTGAGTGCCTCGTGGAAGGTTGGGGGAGGAGTGCTGCTCCCCATCAGAGAGTTAATTTTTGCCAAAGCTGGTTTTAGTGTAATTTAGAGGCTGCTAAAAAAATGGTAAAGGCTCTGTCTGGCTAGGGTTGTCAGAAACAGGCTTAGACTGAAGACAGTTCAGGTAGTGCTGTAGAATGTTTTAAGAATGGGCCCCAAACCGATCCATGCACAGAAATTTTGTTAGTGTATGCTTTGCTCCCCAGGGAAAAGGAACACACTCCCTAGATGGAGCCCTGTGGTGCTGACTCCCGGATCTCTTAAATGTGCTGCAAAAGCCTCTTTTACAGAGTTGCTTTATTCCTGTTAACATAGCTAGTCTTGAGACTCGCAGCTGTTCTCTTGGGTAGGGAGAAGAACTCAGGAACAGCCACCGAGAGCCGCCTCTCCCGAGTGTTTTGTCTCTGTCCCGTGCAACGCAGGCAGTCCTTTGCAAAGTATGCCCAGTCTCTTCCCTACTTCCATCAACGGGTATTTGTTGAGCTACTACTGTTTGCTAGGCACCGTGTTGAGACTAGTGAGGAAAAGGGGGGAGAGCACCCATGTGCTCAAAGAGGCGTTCCTGGTGACCGCGAAGGAGGCTGGGAGGTGAGAACTGTGGAATGGTAATTATAAAACCTAAACTTGTTAGCTTTGATTACACTTTAAAGAAACAATGGTGTTAAGTGGGTTGCTTCCAGAAAAATAAATCTGAGGCTTTATTACTGCCGTCAGATATCAGGGAAAGGGGACTGGAGGTGAGCATGCAGGTAAGGAATTGTTATTTGCGTTTAAGACTATGCAGGTTCCCTTGTTAACCATGGAGCGTTGGGACACAAGTACAGTTCTTTCTCTGTCGTTAAACACAGGGTTCTTCGTGAGACAGTCATTCAGCATTAAATGCATACTTCCCTTTTAAGCAAAAGTTTTTTCTCTTTATTTTGTTCTTAAATTTCTTGTTTTATTTATTTTAAGTGAAAATTTTATTGTAAATTAGGTTTTGCCTTAACCTAATCCATCACTGCATAAATCATTGGCTTATTTTGGCAATCAGAAAAACTTTAGGCTATCTGTTTTGCCTTAACCAACTGAAGAAGTAAAGTGAATCGGTGTCACTAACGGATACCTTATTTCTTCCATAAAATTTTACCTCAACACAGTCCAATAGGCCTTGCCCCATGCGTCAAAACAGTCCCCATCAACTTCTTTGAACTGACGGTCTGTGGCCCAGAGGGACCATTTGAATCTTGTGACAATTTTGCGCTTGTTGAATCCCTTTGCATTTCTTAAAGTGGTAAGGTCATTCGTACAACAGGGTCTTCTGGGTTGAGTGTGTCATTCTCGAAGCACCCTGAAAGAGTAGATGGTTTGTCTAGGGCTGTAGTATGGGGGACTTCCTGGTGATACATTGCCTTCAGGGCTATCCAGAGCTGCTTGTTAGTTTTCCAGCAAATTATCAGTGGTAATTTTTGTATAACAGCTTTCAGGCACACATCTCCGAATCCCAGGTACTACATGGAAGGAATCCCAGTTTGATTTCGTTGACCATCCAAGATGGTTTGTTTCCTTATTCCCTTTAAGTTCCAGTTCAAAGTCTTTGGTTTAAAAAGAGCAACCTAGTGTGAAGTAGTGCTCTCCAAGGTTAGATCATTGCAAAGGGTCAAGTGCTTTCTCTGCCTTGAAACACAAAGGTATATCATCATAGCTGGTACATGAATAAATAAACATCTCATTTTTAAGTTGCCCCTAAAAGTTTCTCTTGCCATTCTTTTTCTGACATTTTTTTACAAGGTTTAAACTCCTCCCCTGTGGGGTTTCTTAGAGTATTTGTGGTCTTCGAAATTATTAACATGCCTCAGGAGGTAAAATCTTTTTCCCTTTATTAGCAAAATAATCAGTAATAGTATCTTAGTGTGCATGTTCTTTCACTGTACTTCAGATTAGCTGAGGAACTAAAAGATTGTTTTCAAAAGTTTGTGATGCTTTATAGGTCTAATAATGAATTTTGATTATGAGACTGACGCGCTACCTACTGTGCTAATGAGGCATCTTAATAATGAATTTTGTAGTGGTCCTCTCCTCTCTAGTCTTAATTTTAATGATGGTATGGAAGGGAGAAAGTCATTGGAACTTTTCTGCTCTACGTTCCTTAGATGAGAAAATGACTCTTCAGGGAACTAGACAAGTTACCTAATGTAAGTTTTCCTTGATTCCCTTTTTTGAAAGACAGCAGCAGTGTGAATGAGCTATGGGTTCCCTAAAATGCTTTGAGCTTCCATCTCTGTCACTTTGGCAGCAGCATCTTTAGCACTGTTTGAGTGTTACAGTACCGGGAAAAATGCTTGTCTGATGCTTAAAAAAATAAAAAGGTCTGAGATAATGCCATTGCAAAATCTGAAACATTAAGATCCTTGGATAGTCGTTCTTGAGTTTGGATTTTTGGTATATAGTGTTGGTCAGCTTGGGCTTTTACAACAAAATACTAAAAACAGGGTGGCTTGTGAACAACAGAAATTTATTTCTCATATAGTTCTTGAGGCAGAAAAGCCAAAATCAGGTTTGGGTTTTGGTTAGGGCCCTCTTCTGAGTTGTAGACCGTTCATTTCTTTCTTTTTTTTAATCCTCACCTGAGAACATGTTTTTGATTTTAGAAAGAGAGGAAGAGAGAAACATCAGTCAACTGCCTTCTGTATGTGCCCCAACTGGGGGATCAAATCTGCAACCTTTTGGGAAAAAAAAAAATCTGCAACCTTTTGTTGTACAGGGACAGTGCTCCAACTGAGCCACCTGGCCAGGGCTAGACCACCAGTCTCTTATATTCTCACGTGATGGAGAGCAGAGCAAAGCGAACAGTTTCGTACTTGACTCTTACAAGGGCACTAAGCGTATTTATGAGGACTTTGCCCTCAACCTCATCTAACTAATTACCTGCCAAAGCCCACCCCCCCCATCACAATGGGCAGCATGATTTCAACATATGTATGGCAGGGGCATACACTCAGTCCACAGGGTGATACAGCACACAGGCCTGAAGTTTGTTTGCGTACCTTCCAGAATAGACATTTGTATTGTAAATGCTCGCTCTGACATAGCTTATGATATGGGTACATCTCTTGTGTTATGACCTTTAAATTTTAGAGAACTTTTTTTTTTTAAGATTTTATGTATTTTTAGAGAGAGGGGAAGGCAGGGAGAAAGTAAGAAGATCAATGCGTGGTTGCCTTTCATGCACCCCCTACTAGGGACCTGGCCCACAACCTAAAGTGCCCTGACTGGGAGTCGAACCGGCAACCCTTTTGGTTCTCAGTCCGGCACTCAATCTACTTAACCACACCAGCCAGGGCTATTTTAGAGAACTTTTCATTGGACATCTCTGGTATCGCTCAGAGATGTCTCTGACATAGGTGTCATGGTAATGTATTGGATATGCACGTCACTCGGGACATAGAACTTAGAACACCTTTCCTTTCATTTTGTTTTGATGTTTCTTTGTTGAGTATTAGAAAGATGGGGTTGTGTGCTATGAGTTTTAGAGCTTCCCTGAACCATTTGTGTAAATCCCATAATTTAAACCAGTAAGTTCCATTCTTTTTTGCCTTTTGGTTCCCATTTTAGCATGCCTTTCCACTGCATTCTATTTCTAAATAATTATACTCTATTTCTTATTAAATACAAGAGTAAGTTTTGTAACTCTTGATTTCGAAAATGCATAAGGTACGGAAATTTGGTTAGTGTATCTTAGATGTGGTCTTTAGAAGCTAACCTTGTGGATAACAGCCAGAAACGCATCTTTGTGCATTCTTAGTTTGCATTCTTATTTAATCATGTACCTTTTAATTCTTACAGGTGACTGGAGCTAGAAACATTGTAGGCACCTAGCAGGGCCTTGGGAGAAAAACCTGCATGAGCATAATTGAGTGAAATAGTTCTCAGTGAGGAAGTTTTTCTTCCCCTAGTGCCCCAGAGTAGGCCAAGGGAGTTCTGTACGTTTCATAGAGTATCTGACTCTGTACGTTTCATAGAGTATCTGACTGTGAGTTCTGGGTACAGTAGAGTGAAACAGAATGAACCGAATGAAAGGTTTGCAAATCCACCTTTGCTGACCCCTCATCTCTCAGGACCCAGAGTTCAACAATACAGATCAGATTGACCTGTATGATGACGTGTTGACAGCCACCTCACAGCCCTCAGACGACAGAAGCAGCAGCACCGAGCCACCTCCTCCTGTTCGCCAGGAGCCGTCGCCCAAGCCCAATAACAAGACCCCTGCGATTCTGTATACCTACAGCGGCCTGCGCAACAGGCGGGCTGCTGTTTACGTGGGCAGCTTCTCCTGGGTGAGCTTGGGCAACCAAAAAGGCGTGCGGGTGGGCTGGAGGGAGAGCACTGGGGGGTGATGGCATTCTCAGAAATCAATGTTGCACTGTTTTGTGCTCTGATGGGGTTGGATTTCTTTTTCCTGGGATCAGGTTGGATTGATCTCTGAAAGAGAACTATCCTGAGGACGTTCTGATGCCGAAGAGAGCAATGATTAAGTGGGTAGTTGCTTTTTCTGCCATCTTGTTACCACCCCTGACCCTGGGGCTTTATGTCTAGCAGGGTCATCTGTGGGATGAGATTTCAGAGTGAATACCTTGAACTCTTGTGGTCATTAGATGGTCCTGTGATAATGATGGGTGACAGGGATCAAAGACCTTGATAGCTAGTACACTTGGGGTAGGTGGTGTTTGTTCTCCTGGAAGTTACTGTGTGACATGTTTTTGGGCTGGTGGGGGAGGGGTGTTCTTCCAAATTAGGAAATGTATATATGAGGGAAAGTTGCTGACAGTGGTCAACTCTAGCATATCAGATCTATAATTAAAAGCTGCTAGTAATCAGTGTTTGAACTGATGACCAGCCAGCCCAAATGGCAGTCAAAGTTAAAATAGGTTTTAATTTTCCTAGTCTCTAAAGATGGGGATTGCGACAGGGGGTGGGTGGTTCTGGAATTCTTTATGGGAGAGGACAATAAGAAAAGCCTGCACTAATTGAAATACTGACGGGCTTTTGGGTTTCCTGTGGGAGGGCATGGCTGTGGTTAGAGTCCTGTGTGTGGGGGATGGTTTGGGACGTTCTGGGTCAGGGGAGCCGTGTAGCTCCTGACGTGTCTTCCTCTTCCATTTTGCCGGCCCCAGTGGACCACAGACCAGCAGCTGATCCAGGTTATTCGCTCTATAGGAGTCTATGACGTGGTGGAGCTGAAGTTTGCAGAGAATCGAGCAAACGGCCAATCCAAAGGGTGAGGTCTGGATTGAAAAAGCCCCTTTTAGTTGATAACCAATGGGATGACAGGTCTGTGCTTTATTCTGGCCCTGGATTTTAGTCCCTGCCACCCCTGGCCCAGTTCACTGCCTTGGTTTTGGCAAACGGCCTTAGAATGGGAACCTAGCTGCAGTGTAGTAGAGCATCCATTTGTTGAGGGACAACGAAAGCTGATTTCTGATTTCAAGTAAGTGGGAAGGTAATAGACTGACACCTCTTTGTGTGTGTGTGTGTGTGTGTGTGTGTGTGTGCGCGCGCGCGCTCGGCAATAGCAGTGTTCAGTAGAAGTGGAAGAGTCTCTCCATTCCTCTCCGTGTCTAGTAGACCTCACTCCTTTTTCATCTTTCTCCTTCCAGGTATGCCGAGGTGGTGGTAGCCTCTGAAAACTCTGTCCACAAATTGTTGGAGCTCCTACCGGGAAAAGTTCTCAATGGAGAGAAAGTAGACGTGAGGCCAGCCACCAAGCAGAACCTGTCGCAGTTTGAGGCACAGGCTCGGAAACGTGAGTGCGTCCGAGTCCCAAGAGGGGGTACGTGGAGACCATCTGTACAAATGGGGGAAGGCTGTGGATTTGTTTTCTGTGGAGTAGGCTCAGCCTACGGTGTGGACGGATTGGGGGCAGGGTGGTGGTGGTTGTGGGTGGTGGCATGGTCAATAGGTTGGCCCAGAAAGGAGGCTTGAGTACCAGAAGGAACACTGCTGGGAGTCAGGTAGGTTCGGGTTACGGTTCGGTTCTGCTGCTGAGTCATGTGACCCTGGCCAGGTCACTTTACCACATGGGTTCATTTGCCCATCTGAACTAGATACATGATGTTTAAAGTTCCTGTCAACTGTAAATTGTGTTCTGTCTAAAAATGTCAATGTATAGTGAATGGGCTTAATTGTAAGGTATACCTCTCCATAAATTATTAAGAAAGAGCCACCCTAAAATGTAAGTAAGGCATATTAAGTTGGCTGTAATATTGTCATAAACCTAGATTGGAAGGGTTCTCTATAAGGATTTGACCATAGAAGTGCTGGAGAATGGGAATTTACCTGGGTTTCTCCAGCATTGCCCTTTCATCACCAGGTATTAGTCTGCTTGGCAGGTATTTCCCATTAGTAAGGAAAGTTGCATCATACTGCCTTAGCTCACTGCCAGTATTCCTCAAGTGCACCTATTCCCCTTGTTAGGACCCTGTACTCACCAAACTACCTTCTGATACTGACTTGGTTTCCTGACTAGGCTTTCCTGCTGGGAAGAGAATGCGCTGACCAGCTGACACAAATATTCCAGTCTGCTTGGCAGTTGTATTTCTCGTTGTAAATTAATAAATTGTCATTCTGGTTTATGAATCAGTCTCTTGTGAGTTTGGTTAGTGTGAATCAGTCTCCTAGGGTTTGATCACTCCTAGGGGACCTGTTAAAATTGAGTTTCTGAACCTGTAAAACCTGAGGACCAGACCCTGGATTGTCCTGGCCTCACAAGGTGTAGCCGCCTTGCAAGGTCCTTCCTGAAACAGTCAACTTCCCTTGCTTTGCTTTTACTACAGCGGGGGGTGTTGGAGGGAGGTGGCAAAAGTCCTCTCAAAATAGTGCCTTGTATTGATGGGGTGGTCCACTGGGACCTTGTGATTGATTGAAGGTAGAAATATGGCCACTTCTCTCTTGTACAGAAACAGCTGTTCTTTTAACTAGATTGAGAACCCAGATGGGTATGGCGTCAGCTCCTATTGCTCTGGGTTAGACGGTACACAACATTTCTTCCTTCACAACTTGTCCCTTCTGCTTTAGTCTTCCTATAATTCAGTCCTCTTCAGACTTTCCTAAAATACATGATTTTACGGCTGTATTGGGGGTAACATTCCTACCTCCACTTGGCTGTTTATTCCTCGGTGTTACCTTTCTTTGCTGAAATAGTGGTGAATGACTGGTGTCTTCTGCTACATCGTGTTGATGTACTGGGCCTCTATTAATTTCCTAAGTATAGTGGGTGGGCTTTGCTTAAAAATAGTTGTTAATCTTGGGGTTTGTAGCCATTGATACAAAATGGAACCTTGCAGAAGAAAGAACAGTCACTGGGAAAGTGGCTAACTTTCAGAGATCCCATGTGCTGATACCTCTTCTTCCTTCCATTTGAGAGAACTTGGGGAATTAGCAAGTTGTCATGGGTTTGAGACATGAAAAGAAAGAAAGAAAGCTGCCCTTGCAGCTCAGTTAGTTAGAATGTCATCGGTTGTGGGTTCAATCTCCAATCAGGGCACATACAAGAAGCAACAAACGAGTACCTAAATAAGTGGGATAGCAAATCAGTGTCCTCCCTACCTCCATTCCTCCCTCCCTTTCTCTCTCTCTCAAGTCAATAAATTTAAAATGGAGAGTGCCATGGTAGGCACTGGTGATATACTACAGTGTGGAAACCACAGTGGCTGCCAGGGTGACTCACCCCACCTGTGCTTTAATCAGGAGTTGGGGTTCGCTAACACGTTTTAGTAAGGAGCACCCTTCTCTCTCCACACTTGTCTGCAAACAGCATCTTTCTACCTCCGAGACTCCCAAGGCCATGTGATCATGTTCTTCTGTTGGATTCCACATTAACCAGGAATAAAGTAGACTGTTAAATTGGAGAGGGAACAGACTTAACCAGGTGACGCGACGATGTCAGGGCATGTTTCCAGCTGTATACAAACTTATGTCCCGGCCCGTGTTGTGCACGACACCGTACCAGCAGGCTATGATGGTGCTCCTGGTAGGGCTGCTTCGTGGGGTGGCACATTTGGGCCATTGAAATGTGGCGGGAGTCCCCAGGTTTGAGGCGTGTTTGTACCAAGCTTTTGCTGGGAGTTCCTGCATCAGCTGTGTGCCATCTGTTCATTCAGTAGGCAGATCTTTTCTTGGCTTGTCTCCCATTTTCTCTTTACCTCCCGATTGTGCGCCTTTTTTCATCCCAGCTACCAGTTCTGGTATATGGATGGAGGACGTGACATCCATCCCTTTCCCCAAATCCCCTAGTCAGAGTGCCGTATAAGGAGAACATTCCGAGAGTCCCACAGGATAAAGGTGGACTAGAACCAGGCTAAGGACGGAGGCCCTGAACTGTCACCAGGAGACATGAGGTTCCAAATAAGATTGAGTCCAGCTGAACAGTAATAATGAATGTACTTGAACACTGTCATTTTCTCATGAGTTACTGGGGTCTTTTTGCACCTAAAACTATAAAACTATAAATCTAAGGATAAATAACATGTAAAGCACTGAGAGTTCTGGATAAAGAACATACTTTGACATACAGAATTTAAGGTGGTAAGACATAAGTGGGTTTATGTCTTAACTAATTTGCCTCTGACCTTTTTCTCTGAGGCCAAAGCAAAGGCAATGGATTTCTTTTTCAGCTGACTGTTCCCTTGCTCAGTGGGGTGGGTGTCAGACGACTTGCTGAATGATGAACTGGTCCTGTGGTGCATCTAATGCCCGGGTAGTAACAGTAGTTCTTTTTGCTTCATAGGAATACCTCCACGGGCTCACTCTCGAGAATCTAGTGATTCTGCTGATGGACGGGCCACACCCTCTGAGAACCTTGTACCCTCATCTGCCCGTGTGGATAAGCCCCCTAGTGTGCTGCCCTACTTCAATCGTCCTCCTTCAGCCCTTCCCCTGATGGGTCTGCCCCCACCTCCAATCCCACCCCCACCACCTCTCTCCTCAAGCTTTGGGGTTCCTCCTCCTCCTCCTGGCATCCACTACCAGCATCTCATGCCCCCTCCTCCTCGATTACCTCCTCATCTGGCCGTACCTCCCCCTGGGGCCATCCCACCTGCCCTTCACCTCAATCCAGCCTTCTTCCCCCCACCAAATGCTACAGTGGGGCCTCCACCAGATACATACATGAAGGCCTCGGCACCCTATAACCATCATGGCAGGTAAGAACGATCTTGTTCCTTTCAGATCTGAGCCAGGTATAGTAGCATAGACAGTGAAGCGTTTTGTTCTCCCTGAGGAAGGAGTTGAGCACTGAATCCTGGTATTTTCCCTTATGGAAATCCTGTTGTCATAGTGTTGAGTCTTAGGAAATACTTATCTATTAGATAACGTTTTTATTTGATGTTTTGTTTGCACCTTAACCACTTGATTGCAACAACATCCTTCGTATCCCATTTTAAGAGACATGATTAAAATGAGTGACCTAAGTGGCTGTAAGTGGCTGTTAGGGAACCTGTGAGTGTAGGGTACAGTAAAGATAATAAGGGTGTGCAACCAGGAATGGTACTATTTCTGTGCAGCCGAGATTCGGGCCCTCCGCCCTCCTCAGTGAGTGAAGCAGAATTTGAAGAGATCATGAAGCGAAACAGAGCAATTTCCAGCAGTGCCATTTCCAAAGCGGTATCTGGAGCCAGTGCAGGTAACTCATCCTTATTGTTGCTGCCTTCTCCTTGCCTTAGTCTTTCCACTGTTTTTCCATGTTTTGTCATTACCACTGGCAAGAAATTCAACAGGATAAAGTTGGAGCACTGTTACATTCTCAAGAGTGGTACAGGTTGAAAAGCAATATGTAATCTAATGTCTTGGCTTTTGGGATGCTCAGTGGTGTTATTTTAGCCTGTGTCTAGACCTGCCCTGTGAAAAACAACTTAGGGCCTAGAATATAATCAGACCATCTCATTGTGGTATAAATTCCTGCCTCATGGAGATCTTGACCTCAGTGGCCCTGATGTCTGTGGTGGATCCACTGCTAAGTGTGGACCCTGGGGTTGTAGGGCTGATACCTCAACTAGATGATGGTGTGATGCGGAATTTAATTACCTCTGGGGATCTAGAGAAAGCTGGTGGCCTCCATGTTGCCTGTTCTAGAAAGAAGCAAGTCTGTTGGGTGTCATCTTAAGGCACAACATTCTTTAATAGGTAACTTTTGCCCTACTGTCAGTATTAAGTAGGCAGAACCAGAAGCCACGACTACTCTTGAGAACCCCAGGTACAGAATTTTTGATTTCTAAGAGGAGAAAATATAGGAAGTTTCAGGGTTCTGGTCCAAGTTTCATTTCACAACATTAGCTGCATTCACTTACTTCCTGTGGTTTCCCGAGTGAATGTACATGTAGACTGTCAGATCTCCGAGTTAACCCTAAATATTACCATCCGTTTTTCATAATTTCTCAGCTTTGGCTGTAAAATTTGAATCCACGGAGTAGGTTAAACACAGGAAGTGTACATATTCCCTTATGTTTTTTTCCCTCCAGAAAATCATTGGGATCTGAATAAGTTGTTTGGATTTTTTTTTTACATTTTATTTATTTATTTTTAGAGAGGGAGAAAGAGAGGGCAAGAAACATCAACCAGTTGCCTCTCACATGCCCCCACCTGAGGACTTGGCCCACAACCCAAGCATGTGCCCTGATTGGGAATTGAACCAGCAGCCTTTTGGTTTGCAGGATGAAGCCCAGTCTACTGAGCCACACCAGTCAGGGCCAAGTAAACCTTTTAAAATTAAAAGTAATCTGTGCTCATTGTGACAAGTAAGGTATACAGAGGACTATAATGAAAATCATTGTTCTCCACTACCTCCTTCATGCTGAGGGTCAGAAACCAAATCAGTATCTCCCTCTGATTTTGTTGTTCTCGTTCCAGTCATTCAAACCACAAACATTTATTGGGCGCCTGTAAAGTAGGCAAAAATTTCCTCTGGTAGAGCTGACACCCCAGTGTTCCTGAACTCCTCTATAGTTTCCAGTTTATTCTTACTGCCTTGCACAGAGAAGCAGCTTCCAGTCCTCGTTATCACTGGGCCTTTGTCTGGTTTCATGTTTTCCTTGCATTATCTTCTGTGCTTATGCTCCTGACCGAGCTTGGAAAAGCTTTGTGCGAGTACCCAACCTGTGCCCTGTGACCACTGTCCCTGCCAGGTGTTGCCCAGATTTGGGGAGCGAAGGGACTGATTCTTGATGGCAGCATAATTTAAATAGACAAAAAACTTAAATATGTATATGTACATATACACATGTCTATGGCATATATAAAACAATGTAGACAAAAGTATGCAGTGTTGATAAAATCATCTACACAAGGACCTTTTATAGTTCTGTGTCTTATCCTCTAGATATTTTTTGTGCATATGACTGTACATACACACACATAATTTTAATTGTTTTTACAAAAATGAAATTGTTTCGTAACTTTTCAGGTAAATATATTCGGAACATCTGTTGTATCATATGTAATAATACCTAACATTTATCAAACCCTTACTGTGCGCGTGGCACTGTGCTAAGTGCTTCACGTGGATTCCTTTGTTTGCACACAGATTACCCTCATGCTCTTCAACAACCACTTAGTGTTCTACACAGCCAGTGTTCTGTTACACAGCCAGTGTTCTGTAAGTCTGTAGCCAGACCCTGTTGAAGGAGCTTCAAGTTGTTTCTAATTCTTTAATACCACAAACAACGCTGAAATAAACATGGTTAAACTTGCACATAGTTGTGAAGAGAAGTAGAAAATTTTCAGAATTCCTTGGTCAAGAGTCTGTACATTGTTTATTTTGATGGATGTTGTTGCACAGACCTCAGACAGTGATGCCCTGGTTTGTACAACCACTAACGCTGTCTGGGAACACCTGTGATTCCAGACCCTCAGAATGTAGGTACCTCCAGTTTTATACCTGCCACTTCTGCCTCATCTGTTTCAGTGCGGTTCTGTGGGGCAGCTAGTTACTCCTGATTTGTGTCCTCCTGAGCTCTTCTTTTGGTCCAGTTGGTTTACGGCTTCTGCTTATCCTTGGCCTTTTCTATCCACCCCGTCAGGGGATTACAGTGACGCTATTGAGACGCTGCTCACGGCCATCGCTGTGATCAAACAGTCCCGGGTTGCCAATGATGAGCGCTGCCGTGTCCTCATCTCCTCTCTTAAGGACTGCCTTCATGGCATTGAAGCCAAGTCCTACAGTGTGGGTGCCAGCGGGAGCTCGTCCAGGTGAGTGGCTGACAGCTTCAGTGGCCTACCAGCTCTGAGCAGCACTGTTCCAGGGAGTGGCAGGGGGAGGAAGGAGCCCAGGGCATCTGGCAGGAACCTGGCTGAAAGAGCCGCCCTAGCCCTGACCTCTGAAAGGGGACAAAGTTAACCTAATGTCTGGAATCTCTGTTGGGTGGAGCAGTGGGCTTATCTAGGGAAAAAAGATAGACTGGTATAGCTAAGAACATGGGCTTCAGAGCCAGACACACTTGGATTTGAATCCCAGTTTGCTCCCAGCTGCATGCGTGGCTGTGAGAACAGAATTATCCAGCTTTCCGAGCCTCATTATTCTCACTTTTAAAAAAGGGACAATAGCAGTGCCCATTTTACAGACCTGTTGTGAAGATTAGGTGAGACAGTGGATGTAAAGCTCTTCGCACTGTTCCTGATAACATTAGTAAGATCTCAACAAGTTTAACTGTTAGTATTTTCTCAAAAAAGACAGGACCTTGAAGAGCTAAAACCGTTGGGCAGTGGGTCCGTGGTAGAGTAGTGGAAGGCTGGCTTAGACAGCACCGGAAGACACTGAAACACACCACTTTCGGAAGGAATGTGGTAGGCCCTCTGAGTGAGGCTGAAGGATCTTTCTAATAGGAAAAGACATCGGTCCCGAGAGAGGTCACCTAGCAGGTCCCGGGAGAGCAGCAGGCGGCACCGGGACCTGCTTCACAACGAGGATCGGCATGATGATTATTTCCAAGAACGGAACCGAGAGCACGAGAGACACCGGGATAGAGAACGGGACCGGCACCACTGAGGAAGGTGGAAGGAGCCCCGCTCCTGACTGGTGGGTGGTCTTTCTGAAAGAGAAGTTGATGATAGTGAAGATTTCTGTTGGTCTGTCTGTCCATATTTATTTTTCTTACTTACTGATTTTAGAGAGGAACGCGGGGGAGACATTGACTTGCTGTTCCGCTTACTTATGCATTCGTTGGTTGCTTTTTGTATGCGTCCTAACCCAGGGTTGAATCCGTAACTGTGGCGTATGAGGATGACACTCTAACCAGTTGAGCTACCTGGCCAGGGCTCTCCCTCTTTTTAAAGCAAATAAAGGGAATGGGCTGACTTTTTATTTAAGTAACTGAAAATTCAGAAGGGCAGGCTTGCCACTTGTTTGTCAGGAGTCTGAGATGGACCTGAGAGGAAGCTATTTTTGCTCATTGCTTGGCTGCCTTGCCCTGGATGTGAGGCAGCAGACACAGGGCTGAGAGCACCGCACCTGCAGGCAGCACCAGGGTGTGACTCCCACTCCTCCAGCCGCGGTTCTGCCCCACAGTTCCTCACTTCGGAAACGTCGGTCGTAGTAGTGGCTGTCTTCGTTACATTGCCGAGTGTGCGGTGAGATAACCCGCAGGCATTGAGCACTTGTAGTGCCTGTCACATAGTAAGTGCTCAGGCAGTGATGGCCTCGTTATTGGCGTGAGTCTGCACCGACCACACCAGGCTTCCAAGTGAAAAAATCGGGAAATCAACCGATACGGAAAAATAGGACCATTGCCTACTTGTTTGTTTTCAAGGTGCAACACTAACGATTTTAAGAATTAATACCTTTGTAAAAGATTTTGAAAATCAGGATGCTTTAGTCAAAAGAAAGCCAGTCTGGAAAAAATTATTTTTAATAGCTTTAATGGAAAGGTATACTGTGGAGGATATTTCAATGGAAGGGTATATTTGTTTGGGGAAAAAGCATATTGACAGCAAATTTTTTCAAAGCAAAGCATACGCAGGAGAGTTGGGGTGGGGCTGGATCTAGGGGCTTCAGCTCTGTTTTCACTCTGCTGGGCAGTCCCAACTGAAAGAAAGCCTGTAGCAGATAGTAGTGTGTAAGCAAGTAAAAGGAGTTGACTCTTTTTCTGTGGAGATACCTAAAAGTAGCTTAGACTCTGGCTAGGAGGGTCTGTTTGTGCTTCCTGGGATCTGCTGTGTGATCCAGGTGACTTGGGGGGTGTCTCCTCAACCTTGTGGTGTAACATTAAGTGTACTATGAAAATGTCCCTGGCTTTGTGACTGTTTGGTTGGTCTCAGTAATGGTGATTGAGGGTGAGGAGAAAGCATGGTGAGCTCTTTCTGGTATCTTTGGGTGGGTGGGTGCATGCCTGGATGAAGAAGGGAAAGGAGGCACCCCCCACCCCCCGTGAGTGCCTGAGGTTCACAAGCAGTAACTGGACTGTAAACCGTTGAAAAAGTCTGTTGTGTTTTTCTTAGTGTCAGCCTACTGCACAAACAAACAAGAGTCTTGTTATGTTTGGCTGTTGCCCTCTACTGTGTTGTCCGACATTGTCTGCCATGAACTTAGGCAGAGTTGTAGCTGGGAATTTGTTGTCTTTTGTGGGTGACAGGCTAGTGGGAAAATGAAACGTTAGTAATGTTTTTACCTGCCCACCTTCTCTATTCTTCAACCACTCGTTCATTCCACAAAGTCTTAGAGTGCTTGACATTGAAATCTAGGATACCCCACCTAAAATTACCAGTTAGGCCGTGTGGTCTAGATACTTCTTTCTGGATTTTGCAACAGGTTGAGTTTTGGGAGGTGCCCACATACCCTCCAGAAAAGCAGACTCAAAGGGTGGTAGAGCCTACAAACAGCTTTGGCTCTAAGACTTGGGGGCGGATGGGAAGGTCTCTGATCCGCTCTCATCACCTCTGTGGCGGTTGTACATTCCCCTCCTCTTGCCGGAGTTAGACAGTCGTGGTGCTGCTTGTGGGCTAGTGTCACCTCCTCACCCAGTCCTGCAGCCCACGGTGCGTGTCCTTTGAGCTGACTAGGGCAAGAGCCCTAGGCAGGGTGCAGAGCACAGAACTGTGACCACATTCACTTCATGAAACCGCGTGTCCCTACTCCTGGTGGCTTGGCTTCTGATAGCCTTTTGACAGGAGGGTTGCAAGATCCTCTGGTCATTAGTACTTTGGGGACTGCACATCTGAACCTGGGACTTCAGCTGTCATTTTGCTGAGACTTTAGCTATCACCTGTAATATGGGACTGTTTCTCCCATTATGGGGATTATTCAATTTGGATAACTGAAAAATCCTGTAACTCAGTAGCTTGCAGCAAATGGTCAGTTGGCTGGCACAGGCCTGTGACAAGATGAGGAAGGTGAACCCTGAGGCAGGTTTTTCAATTCCCCAGTTTGTCTTCTGTTGGTTAATCCACCCAAATAATAATTTTGTCCAAGAGAACTGAATCAGACACCCTAAAAATGTCCAGTTCTCATATTCTTATCCTAATGAGTCTTGATTCATCTAGTTACCAAGTTGTGACTTAGGAGATTTCATGTTAGGCAGATGGTGCATAGATGGTACGTTTATCTCAAGAACTTTTCCAGTGTTAAGTACATACTTTCTGGTTAGAAAATGATAGTGTTTTATATTGTATGAACAGGTGTTCTCTAGACCAACAGATGCGTTCTGTCGAGCATCAGCAACAGATCAGCAACCATCCTTCCTCAGGATAGGCACCGCCTCAGGGGCTTGAAGTCTGATTGGCCCACTGCAGAACTCTTCTTCTTCTTTTTTTTTTTTTTTAATTGATTTTAGAGAAGGGGGAGAGAAAGAGAAACACCAATTTGTCACTGCGCTTATTTATTTATTTATTTATGCATTCATTGGTTGAATCTTAAATGTGCCCTGAGCAGGGATTGAACTTGCAACCTTGGTACATTGGGGTGATGCTTTAACCAGCTGAGCTACCCAGCCAGGGCATGGAGGACTCTTTGGCTTCTATCTGTATTCAAACATTATCACCAAAAGGAAGCCATACCCTTTTAAGAATTGAGTACTATAGTTTAATTCTCTTGATGCACTACTTATATTCTGCGTCTGGTCTTGTAGGGACAGTTCCCAAAGTACATCTCTTTTGGGCTATATGTGTGTATGCTTTTGGAGTTTGAGATATTCTTAAGTGAGCAGTGGTTTTGACTTTTTGTAGTTCTTGGCTATTTCATGATTTTAGGGCCTTCTACTAACTTGAAATACCGTCATTCTTACCTGATTTCTACCTTCCTGGTCAATGAAAACAGCCTTCTGCTGTTTTGATTTAGTGCAAAAGTTCAGGAGCCCCCACGGTGTGAAATTGAGAAAGCGCTGAGGGCTTCTTCAAGTTTTCCATGTAGAAAATGAGGTGAAACCTGCCTGCACGGGTGTTTGGAGAAACCAGAGGCCAGAGGCCATGACCAATTCTGAGCTAGCTGCCCAGCTGAGACAGTGCTGTTTCAGAGTGGGAGGGACACGCAGCTGTGGGTGTCCTTGTTCGGGACCAGCTCCTACAGCGCAGAGAAGTGCATGCAGGAGGGGTGAGCCTTTGTGTACCAGCTGTGTTGCCAGTTTGGACACTAGAAATCCTAGGCCGGAATTTAATCTCCCTTTTCCTGTTTAGCTATTAATTCTGTTTTATATGGTCAGGCTGACCAAGCCACCCTCTCCAGATTAATATTGCAACATCAGAACAAGGGTTGAGTGGACTGGGGACCGTAAGTTGGGTAGAAATGCGACAAATGGCTTAACAGTGCCTTACTGTTCAGCAAAAGTTCTTAACTGCTCTTTTAAGTTTCTTAGATGACTACAGGTGGTTTTCTTTCACTCCCATGCTCTGCTTTATGTCCTGGCCTGGCTGGATCGCTGCAGCTTCTGTTAGTGTGCTCTCGGTCCCTCGTCCTCGGTGATCATGGGGGACAGACTTTAAAAGGTTCTTGAGTTCTAGTACAACTTAGGACATCTTGCACTCTGTGCGTGTGCACATGTACTCGCGAGAGTGCTGTTTGAATCTGTTTTAACTGGGGCTTCTTTAAAAGAGGAGAAAGGGTTAGGAGTTTCCTGTGTAAGTACATGCTCCCTGCCATGGCCTCTTGGGTGTTTGGGGGTTAATGGATTTGGTTATGTACACACGTGTTTTCTCATCATTGTACAAACTGATGTTTCCAGATTTTTCCTCCCCTTAAGGTAAGCTATGATTTGCTCAGAATAGATTTTTTAAAACAGTAAACTCACCATCTTCCCTTATAACAACTTTTCTTGAAATGTTATAGTTTCCATATTTTTCCACCCCAGGTCTCTTTTTCAGTCAAACTGCTCTGAGACCTCATCTTACTGTCCTTGTTTCCCCTCAGCCTTCAAGTGGGGTGCCACTTTTTCCCCTCTACTCTACAGCATCTCCAACCAGTCCCTCACTCCTCCCGGTGCCAGACACTCCCAGACACTCCCAGGCTTGCTTTCTCCCTCTGTCCACATCACCTACCTCCTATGTTGTAACTGTTGAGAATGCCGGTGTAACTCATCTAAGCTCCCGTTAATCAGAAAGTAACCTCTAATTCGTGTTCTCTTCTGATGTTCTCATTGCAGGAGTCTGTTTGGAAGCAAATGTTTTTTTAATGGACTTGCATCTCCTCACCTTGATCAGGATTAAAGGACGGAGGCCGCTCCACCCCTCCCCCTTCCTCCACACCCCTAACCCCCTCCAGACACCCAGGGAATGCCCTCTGCCCTACAGGATTGAAGACTGCCTGGCAGCCCTCCCAATCCCACAGCTCCTGTTTGCCAGGGAAAAGAGCCTAAAGACTTTGTGTGGTTGGGGGGGGGGGGCAGACAGGAAGAAAACATGTCCAGGCCCCTGGTTTCCATAGAGAATGGTGCTTTGTTCAAGGAAACACGAGTTTCTGATTTTCCAGGAGCAGTTCATCGGTGAGGTTGATGGGAAGACTTCCTTCTCAAAGAAAACGAATCCTTCGTTTGGGATCTAGGAGAGTGACTGGGTGTGCCAAAATATGCCCAGGGTCCTGCCCTCAGCACTAGGTTTGATGGGGCCAAGAGGGTCCAGACCCCTTGCTAACATACCACTTCTTTGTTTAACTCCTTTACTTTCCCAGTCCTTTGAGGAGGGACCATGAGGACAGAAATTTCCTTATGAAAAGCTTCTCTTATTCTTGCTTTTCCTTCTTACATATTTGACAGTTTATTTCCCAAACCTCTCAGGGGGCTACACCCTTCCAGCTCCCTGCTGCCCGCCCTCCCTGCGGACTTGCCCTCCTAAGCAGAGAAGGCCCGTGAGGCTGCTCTCTGCTGGGGCCCCGCAGAGCCAGGCACCACCCTCTACCCTCCGCTTGTTCTTGCTCATGCGCCTCTGGCAGTAACCAGGTCTGCTAGACGGTCCCTTTCCCTGGGGCTTTGCCATTTCACGTGAAGAGCCCTTCCCCCAAGAAGGCTGCTTCCTTGTTTTAGAGGAAGGTACTGCCATTGGGAGGGTCAGGCCAGGGGCCTCAGCAGTGAAGTACCCTTGTGAAGTACCAGGACTGGGGAAGGAGGCGAGGTGAGCAGGATACAACCGATTTGCATAGGCTTTTCTTTTTTCAGGTTTGATGTAAGCGTGGGCTTGCGTGCCCCAGGTACTAGTTTTACTTACTGTGGGATAACCTGGCACTAGTAGACAGGTAAAAGTCACGAATTTGGTGTCTTTCCACCTTTTGACTATTGACTTCATAGCTCCCCTTGCTCTGCCTGGAGGTACTTTCTTCCTCTGGTAAGGAGCAGGGAGGAAGTGTAGCCTGACTTGAATGAGCTCAGCGTTCTAAGCATCGCCACTCTGGGGGCTGTTTTCCACGCAGGCATATGGAGTTGCTTTTCCTATAACATCTAAATTGTGATGTTCTTGTTGCCGAGGGGAGAAGCGGCAGCAGGGTCCTGCGGCACCTGTGGGGCGGTGGGTGCCGTCTGTGCACGCATCTACAGGGCACGTGACATCTGACACGGGGAGGGACGTGGCAGCGAGATGTAGGGCCGTTGGAGACGCTTCTGGCTCAGGGGAGAGACTTGCGTTGGACTGAACCCTTCCTCATCCCTGCACGTTTCTGGTACAGCCTTCAGTCACTGAGGGAGTCCCCCCAGGGTCGGAGAGGCACATTCCCTTGGGACAGAGGCTACAGGTCTGTAGCTCCTTTTTCCCCCTGTCCCAAGTCCCATCCCCACCTCCACTTCAGAACATGGCACCCTGCCCAGCTGGCTGAGTGTTAAGTGACGTGCTTATCCGTGAGAGCAGCTCCGGGTGTCTTTTTAAAATGTAGAGAAAACCAAGTAAGGTGACAGTGTAAGGAAAAGAAATACATAGAATACCAGAAAAGCCGTTTACCCGGAGAATTTTTTTCTCCCCATTTTTGTTTTGTTTTTACTCGACACAATTTTTAGTTTTATTTCCTGATAGCAAAAGGAAAAAAAAAAAAAACACCCAGCCCTCAAAAAGGCCAAGGCCCCGTCCCCCTGTTGTCGGTGATTTGTTTGTCTTTCTGATAGGTTGAAATTGTGTAATAAACTTGATGACGCTGTCAATCTTTTATACTGCATTGTATTTTTTTCCTTTTGTAACAAAAGTATTTTTAAATAATAAATGGGGTGTGAGCTGTTTTATGGATTCTGCATTGAATAGATTTGTTGAGGTGTCTGGGGCACGGGCACGGGCTGATTGACATAGAGGCTGCGGGACGGCAGTGAAGCCCTGAGTCCTCAGCTGGAGTTGCGTGTGGGGTGTGGAGTACCTGTGGTACGCTTCGCAGGAGGCCCCTAGTGCAAGCCTTTGGAAGTGCCCCTTGAGGGTTAGATTTTTTCCTTAGCCACTTAAACAGTCTGGGTAGAGAGAAATTCCAAGTCATCCTTTACCAAGATTCCTAAGATGTATTCTCATAATAAATGTCCTGCCTTTCCCAGTTGAGTCCCGATGTCACCAAGTTCAGGAAGGGAAGGCTGCTAGGAGTGAGAGGTGTGCTTGCTAGTGGCTGCTTCCACCTACTGATCTGAACGTGGACAAGCCATGGAACCAATCTCTGCATAAAGTCCAAAAACCTGCTTTTTATGCCCCGAATGACTTTTATATAGATTAAAGTGCGAGGACTGCTAGTTTAGAGAAGTATCACCTCAGAAGTACCTTGGTGTGTAGAAAGGGACTGACCTTTGGGATATCTCCAGGTTCAAGTCCCAACTCTTAACTGTAGGCTGAATGCCTTTGGACGCACGAATTGGTTACCATCTGACTCGATTTCCTCCTGCCTCGGGATCTGTGTGTCTGCCGGGCACTGGATGCACGTTAGTCTCCTACAGTTGCCGCCATAGAGCCAGGAACCTGAACCTGTGTGTGCTAAGTGCTTCCGGAATGGGATCAGACCTCTGCCCCTAGAAACAACCATGCAGTCACCTGACTCTTCCAACCATGAGTGTGAATTTCTGGGCAGGCCTCCGCCAGGTCATTAGACCAGGCCTGCTCCTCTCGGTTCCCATGGTGTGGGGTGACGACAGCCTCTCTCCATCCTGTACCCCTGAGAGACTAGCTGTGCTGATTCTTGTCCTCTGCTGCCTTGGTTTCTGATGTTCTACTCTAATGTGACTGACTGCATCCGCACAGGTGGCTCCAACAGCCATCGGGAAGAATGAACATTTACAGAACCACCCATGGAAAACTACTAAGCTTCCAGACAGCCTTGAAGTACATGGGGGAGACTTCTGGTTTAATCATTTTCTCATTTTCAACCATTCCTTCTTACCCTCAAGTGGTACCTGTTGAGGAATGAAATTTACTTAATCCAGACTGAAACTCATAAGATTTCTAGTTCCAACCCTGGCTGGTGTGGCTCAGTGGATTGAGTGCTGACCTACAAACCAAAGGGTCACTGGTTCAATTCCCAGCCTAGGGACATACCCAGGTTGTGGGCCAGGTCCCCAGTAGGGGGCATGTGAGAGGCAACCACACATTGATGTTTCTCTCTTCCTACCCCCTCTCTAAAAATAAATCTTAAAGAAAATAGACTGGAAAGAAATTATACTTAAAAAAATGTCCAGTTCTAGCTGCTAATAACCAGTTGTATGATATGTGGCTGTGTTACTTCACCTCTAAGCCTGCAAAGTTACAGATTAAAAATTGATTTCTAAAGTCCCTTTCCATTATAAGCCCCCTCTAAACTTCCACCTGAGCCTTCCATTCATTTCTCTGTGTTGATGGGAGGGTGACCTTGACCACTGAACCTCTAAATGGCCAGGGAGGCCCAGGGAGAATGGGTGCCTCTCCGACTAAATGGCAGTTTCGTCCCAGCAGGGCTACAGGAAGCAGCAGTGCGAGAAGCAACAGAAAATCAGGGTAGTTGTGGGGTTTGTGGCTGAAACATCAGGAATGTTCCTATGGGATTTTCTGGTAGATTCATGGTTGATTAGACCTGTCTGCTATGGTTTTTGGACAGACCCCAGGGACAGTTAGGAGGCAGGGACACAGAAGGGACAGGAAACGGGAAACACATTAGTGAATTGGACGGGGGAGGCCTTCCCAGGACAGGAGTGAGCCTGGTCACGGGAAGTGAGGAGTTAAAAGTCAGCACGGAATGCTTAAAGGCCAACTACTTTTTACTTTGAATAAGTGCAGATATTCTAGGATTCTTCTGACAGAAGGGCCCTTGAAAAAAGGTTTCCTAAAGCAGTGGATTCTGTTATGGCTCCTGGTGGCTTGGGGCAAAAAAATAAAGAATAAAAAATTGGCCACTACCAAGCAAGATGAGAAAGTTTTAAAAATGATTACTTGGAGAAGGGAATGATATACTCATCCAAGGCAACATTTCTCCAGATTAAAAAAAAATTACACACACATATATACACACACACACATATGTATGTTGCTCTCATGTTAATTTGAAATTTCAAAATAAGTGACAAAAAGTATTAGTAAGTTGAGAATATGTTTTGTCCAATTACTCATGCCTCACCCTGGAGAGGAGGGACAATTATCTGGAAGAGGAATATGTGGCAGAGGTGAGGGATATAAGCAGTCCTTTGCAGGATGACAGACCTGCAGAAGATCCAGAAGCTGGCAGTGCCTTTGGGAACGAATCCGGGCTGGGACGGGGGGGAGGAAACCAGTGGCAGGCCCGCATCGCCACCTCTGGTCCACACTGGATCACTCAGCACGGCCTGAGCACACACCCCTGGGGCAGTCCCCCTTCTCTGGGAGGGGATGGATTTGTAGGGACAGGTGCCGTAAGGAAGAGGCTACACGACAGAAAATACATATTTATTATAAAACAGCGTGTGTTTCATGATGAGAATAGAAAAATAACATTATCAGCTACTAAAGTTCTGGAGCTGTCTCGGAAGAATAAGCACAAGAGGCTTTTGCGTCACTTGGAGGGCACCGTCCCGTGGCTCTCCACACTCATGTGCGACAGGTGTGGCACAGCACGTACAAGGACAGGGAGTGTGGCTCAGATCCTACCGGAAGCCCAAGGAGCCCACATGGTCTACACATGACGCTCTGGCCATGAGGATGGAAGAGGAGACCCCAAGGGCGAGGGCAGCACGGAGCCAGTTCTGAGGGCAGCTGGGACGGGGGCGGCCGGGCCCCTCCCTGCACTGGAGTGTGGGAGCGTCTCTTAGGCTGAGGTCAGGCTTAGAAGACGGTGCCCAGTGGCCTTGTGCTTGGACTGCTGCCCAGATGTCTGTGCTGAGGAAGAGCCACAACTTCCCTGGGACCACCTGAACCATCAGTTCTCACTGGTGTGGCTGGAGTACCGAAGTCTGTGAGCTCAGCCCTGAGGGCTGCTGGCTGAAACTGTGTACTTCAAATCCTGTCCATACTGATGGCAGAAAGAAAGAGAGAAAATGTTAAAAGACCAGTGAACAAGGGCAGCTGGCCTGAACCGTTCTATATTCCAAGCCTCCTGGCCCCAAAGAACAAGGAGAGTACCTTCCCTAACTGAAGTGGGTAACTGGCCACCCTAAATGAGAAAGGCACTCTTTCCACAGACACTCTTTCCCCTTTAAAAAGTCCACTAGACCTCTCCGGCTTCTGAAGAACAATGAATCCTTCCCTAGCAGGGGATGGGAACCCAACCCCCAGGTGATGGGAAAGGGTCCCTCAGCTGCAGTACCTGGAGAAAGCGGCCAGGGTTAACACCTCAAGCAGCAGCTCTGAACCACAGAAGAAGAGCAAGATGCCATTCATGATGGCTTCCAGGCGGAGCACGTAGGTCTGCAGCAGCATGTAATAGGAGGCCATCATGGCAGATGGGAAGGTCAAGGCCACACTAATAGCAAGTGGCATCTTTCGTTGGCAGAGGTTTCCCTTTGTACCTGTCAGACACAGTCCACAGAGTCACCTCCAAGTGGCCTGCTTTCCTGGCCTCAGAGGAAAGACTCTGGGGCAGTTTAGGGTTGGAATCATTCACACTGAATGTCCTGCTTCCAGCCTGGCTCCTAGTCAAGCAATGCTGGGATTGTTATAGGGGAGAAAATTTTTTCAATGATAAAAATAACATAGAATCAATTAAAACATTTCAACTAATATACAGAAAATAAGTTGAGAGACTATAGAAACTCACTCACTTCCATGCTCACTCCCTGGAGATAGCTATTATTAGATGTATACTGTTTCAGATTTTTTAATGTGTGCATACTCCCATATCACTAGTATTATAAAAACTGGATCATACTCTAGTACTGTTTTGCAACTTATTTTTTCCCTTAAGTTAGACATCTCTCCACAGATAACTCCACCTTATTCTTTTTTACTGGCTACAAACGATTTCACTGAACCAACACCAAAGCTCATTTATTTAATCCTGTAGTCACATGGGTTCAGGTCCTCTGGTTCCAATGTAACAAAATACATGGCAGCAAACCTCCCACAGACATCTTTGCCTGTCTGTGGGAGTGGTTTTTTTAAACCAGTTTTTGAAGTGAAATTGTTAGGTCTAAGGATACAAATTTTACACAGTAAAACTATTAGCAAAAGGATGTACTACCCTGGCCAGTGCCGCTCGGTTGGAGCGTCGTCCCATAAACTGAAAGATTGCGGGTTCAATTCTTGGTCGGCACGTACCAAGGTTGCAAGTTTGGTCAGGGTGCATGTGAGAGGCAACCAATTGATGTTTCTCCCTCACACTGATGTTTCTCTCTCTCCCTCCCCCTCTCCCTAAAATCAGTAAATGCATGAGAATTTAAAAAAAAGGATGTACTAATTTATACCCCCAAAGAACCTGAGAATATAAGCACCCATGAGAATGTGGGACTACAGGGACCCCGTTCCTCAAGCCTGTGCTCACTGGATATTGGGAATCTTTTTAACACGATGGGCGAAATGTTCTCCTGTCATGTCAACTTTTTACTAGTGAGTGTGGGCATTTTGTTACATTTATTGGTTCTTTGTGATCATTCTTATATGAATTGCCTATTAGTGTTCTTTCCCAATTTTTAAAATTAGGTTGTCTTTTTCTGAGTCATTCATGTGAGCCTGCTTTATCCTTTGTTATATGTCTTACAAGTATTTTTTTTTTTTGCTCAGTTTGCATTTTAACACTGTTTTTGGAGATGAGATATTCTAACTCGTAAGAGAGGTGCTCTGAATTTCTGGGGATATTCTTTAGGACAGCTGA